TAATCTGAAGCAAGTGAGAAACACAATAACCGAGTCTATCTTGAAAAACGTAAGTAATAACAATATGGCAAACGATTTGACAGCTCGGATACGTGTGATGTTTAAAAAATCAAAGACAGTCGGGGAAATATTACACAATCACAGACAGGTGCTTAGACAAGCACCAGACTATAATTGTGCAGTATCCCGACTTTCAAAAATTGAGAACCGCATTGTCTGCAGATTAAGTGAAATCACAGAAAATCAGCTCTTGTGAAATGCAAAAAACCTAGCTCATACGAATGAAAAAATTGGAAAGGAAGAAATTAAAAGGACCATTATCACTACCATTGCAAGTATACCACGACCATTAAGGAAGAAAACAGAAATTAAAATAGATGTCTCTACTTGCATCGAAAAGAAGAATGATATGAGAATTTTTCTTCACATATCAGAAGTATGGGAAGTAAAAAGAAGATTGACACAATGTATCCTATCACCATTGGACAAAAATCATGGAGAAACTTTTGTGGAATGCCGTAAAATCAGGTACGAGAAGACCCAAAAATTGTTTTCGGAATCGAATCACTACGAAATTATACAACAAACGAAATTTAAGATCACTCAATTGGCCAAAAATACGTATCATGGATGTGGGCTGAAGAAAATCGCAGAATGGGATGAACAGGGATCATACGAAAATGCGTATACAATTGCAAAAACAAGGACGTCACCAGACGCCGACCAATTGTGTCAACATATCAAAGAAAGCATCGAAGGTACTATCAAGAGCTATCAACTTCATGTGTGAAGCATTGAAAATTTGTTTCTCACTAAAAGGAACGAACCAACTACTACATAGACTGAAGAAATACAATCAAGTAGCAAAAGAAACATACGGGGATATAGCTACAATAATTTGTTTCACATACGACGTCAAAGATATGTTTTCGAATCTCGATCACACACATATCTTAAACGGCATGCAATGGATGATGAAAACGGCGAAAAAAAAACGAAAAACCTACTTGTGTTACAAGATGAGAGAAAAGTACATGAACTTTGAAAAAACAAACGGAACCTATGGATGAAGAACATTAAAAATTGAGTGCCTAATGGATCTGTTGTACTATGACATCAAACACTCATACTTCAAACTTCAAAGTACAAGGAACATTATTACGCCAAGTAATGGGGCTACCAATGGGGAAGGGCTCTAACCCACACATTGCCAACATGGTATGCGCGTTCGACGAGTACAGATGGTGTGCGCAGACTGGAATTGATGAGAAACTTATCCACGGTATGAGTTTTGTGAACGATGTAATGATGATCATAATAGTAAGTAAAGAACATCAAACGAAAGAGTTAGAATGTCTGAAATCTTTTCAAACATGCTACCACCAATCTCTAAAACTTGAAATCACATCAGACAACGCGAACACAGAATGAACATATCTGGAAACAAGGGTGACGAAATCAATCAACGAACAAAATCATAAGATATGATGAAAGTAGCTCCAGATTCAAGGAATGTTGAAAATCGACGACGACAAGGACAACACAGAGAGCGACTGCGGAAGATCCTGAGGATAAATGATGAGTACACTGCAAGGATATGGAAAGTGGCGGAGAAGAACTGAGAACAAAGAGTATACATACTGAGGATAGTGGCTGAAATGATTACCTGAGCAGTGAGGTAGAGGGGTAATCGCGACTGGTG